ATGATTTCCTCTTAGTGAAACCATGTTGACTGCTCTGGTCATACAGTACTTGACCTGCAGATTAGCAGGGGACTCCAGGCTTGTTGATAGATGGTAGATGTGTGGGAATAAATCCAAATCATCTATTCCAAATTGGTGTGAAATTTTGGTGCTTTGGAGAACATAATTTCAGGCTGAAGTTAGGTCAATTTCATAAATTCACTAGTTTTTCATTATAAGCATGCATATCCACATGCTGAAAGGCAGGCTACAAGCAGCCAGTTCTGACTCTGAAAATGAGAAGAATAGATCCAAGAGGGGAAAACTGATCTTGTATTTGCAGAGTCAAGTGAATTTTATTAGGTTTTGTGGTAGAATTACATCACAAACCCCAATTAGACATGAAAGCCTCTTCTTAATGGAAGGTGTTATCTTAATGGAAGTTCCCTGTGTATACTGCAGAAAAAGAGGTAAAATAGATACTGTGCTATGAGCTGGTACTGTGGCATCTTCCTGATACAGTTCTGTCAGTTAGCTTCATCAGACACTAAAGCAGTGCTACAATCTTACTGGAGTGCGTAGAAGCGTGGACATAAATAACACAGGTGTCCTATAAGTAATTTTGGAATTGGGCAGTCAGTCTCAGTTGCCCCGAGATGCTTCCAGATGCAAATATTCTGAAGAATTTAATATCCCTTTCACTTCTCGACTTGGTTAAGTTTATGTGGTGACTTGACAGTAGTTTTTCAAAATGTCAGCAGTTTTCAATTAGTTACAACATGTACATGAGCTACTACAGCAGCCAGCATGTGAAAGCTGGGTGCTGTTTTTTCCTCCCTGTTCCTCCAGCTCGCTCCAGCAGTGGGGAGCACAGTGTTGTCCGTTCAGCGTTGCAGTTGCCCTGTGCTGTGCAGGGAGGGTGCCATACTGCCCAGCTTTTACAAGATACTCTGAGAGATCAGTGTCGGGAAACAAACAGTTTATTTCATATCACATCTATCACATCTGTTTCTCTTTTAGGCAACAGTTACCAAGGTCATGGCAATTTTGACTTCCCACACGGGAATCCCGGTGGCACGTCTATGAATGACTTCATGCATGGGCCACAGCTGTCACATCCCCCAGACATGCCGAGCAGCATGGCAACTCTTGACAAACCTCTCAGTCACCCCATGCAGGAATCTGTAAGTAATGGTGCTGTGGACATAGATATTTCCTTTGTGGGGGTAAGGAGCTCTCATCCAGCTAACAGACTTGCCTCGTGAACTGCTTTTACTTTTTGTGGATTCCTCACATTGGAAGTTTGTGAAATAGAGCAGTCCTGAGAAATGTCAAAAATGCCATTTTCAGTTTCTGGCGTTCTCAAGTTTTTGGAGAAGCATTTCTGAGCTTTTTGAATTGTCATTTAAGCTTGTTTATCTGAAAGAGACAACCTGGCTCAATGTGCTTGTGTTAATTATTGTGCTTTGCTCTGACACCTGAAAAAAACTAGACTTCATTCCCTAGGCTAGCGGGATCTGTGAATATCCATCTTCAGCAGACAGCTTGTTATAGCAAGACATTGACTGACTTCAAAGCAGGGACAATATCTTCCCTGGCTTTGTCCCTGAGGGAAAATTTGCATCAAAGCATTTTGAGGAGGAATTCTGCCCAAGTAGCATGCAAGGCACCTTTAAGCTGTTGGGAATAAGACAGGCCTGTAGATTTCAAGGAGAGATGCTGCCACTGTCTTGAGAGTGTATCAGTGTAAGAGACTAAAAAGTGGAGGTTCCTCAGGTCTCACATGGGGAGGCAGAACTGTGCCTTGGAAAAGCAGCTTGCTCAGAGCACTGAGTTTTGTATACAAAACTTTATATATCTCCAGAAAATGCAGTACTGCAGCAGCTAGGGGATAGAAAAGCTACGAGCAGCGTTTTAGCTCTTAGGCACGGCTAGTCATCTATTTTAAATCTGTGTGAGGGGTGTGTGTATACATCCTTTTATGTTCATTTAAGTTACGGGGCAGGGGCTTTATAGTGTGCTGTTACTGCACAGGAAGGATGTTTAACTTGACAAGTCAGCTGTGCCATGTTTTTAGTGAATACTAGAAAAGTACAATTTCAGAATGTAATGAGGAAATGTGGTAGCAGATGCTCAGCAAAAGCCTGCTCAGTCCATATCTTCTCTAGCTGACAGTGGGTTTTCCAAGGAGGATGGTGAGAAGTAGGAAGAGAGTAGAGAGAGAGTTCTTAGTATAGCTTGGAGAGAGCCCAAGTAACAAGACTGTCTGCAAAAGAAGAATCCAGAAACTGTAATCACTTTACAGGCTAATAAAGGACAGAACAAACATGCCATAAACTTAATTTTACGCTGGCAAATTCCAGATACCCAGCTTAAAGAGTAGTCTGAATTATCTGCATCAGAACCAACCATACAGTATTAGAAGATAGTAGTGAGGGGAAATACTACCAACGTGAACCACTGACAGCTCCTTTCCTTTGGATCAAAGCCACAGGGAATTAATTATTCTTTGCCTCCCATTACATGACACCTACCTCTTGACTTCATCAGTTAACTGATACACCTTTGCGATAGTAGTTGCCCCAGTGAAACTTCTGAAGTGGTAGCATGTGAAGTGGTTGAATAAAAAAGTGAAGAATCTGTGGCTTTCTTAAAATGACTGCTTACAGATGATAGCAAAGGTGAAAGTTGCTCAAGGGTATGCATGTTGCAGAGTTGTAGGAGAGTATTTGGGCAAATGTTAATAGGTTTTTGGTTCTGTAGGCCAAGTCTGTAGAAAATTTGATACTTGCTTATGATCACTGGCAATTAAAGTAAACCTTTGCCTTTCTCTTCCCTCATCTATCATGATACACAAGCTATACTGTTTGGGAACAGGAAGCAGTGCTAAAGCAGGTTCCATCTAGGTTATGTCAGTGGCTGATTTTCTCTAATGAGGATCAGTTTTCAGGTCTATTAGCACCTTGTCAATGTAACCACATAGTCTTCAGGCCACGTTTGAGGACTGTTAGTGCTTCCACACAGCTTTTTCTTTACTATAAAGTCTCTGCTTTCCCTTTCTCTTTTTCTCCTTCTTCCTTTCAGCTCTCTCCAAAACTAACTGTTTGTCTGTAGCAGACACTCAGGAAAGACAGCTTTAAAATTACTGCTTTTAGAAATGCATGCCATTAACACATTCCTAAATTGTGTAGCTGAATGTCTTTGGACAGACATCTCTGTACAAAAATAACTGTAAATCACATTGCATAATTGAACTAAGGTTTTAAGATGTTGCCTGTGCTCTTATCTGGCTTTCTGTCAAATATAAGGTCTATTTCATTTTCATCTGCTATTTACTTTGACTGTATTGTGTTTACAAGGTCAGTCAGGATCAGATGTTTAGTCCTTTTAGACTCGAGGTCTGTCTCTAAACTGGAGCTAAATGCTGCTGAGGAAGTACCTGATTTTCCTATTATGAAAATGTATGTGGTGGCCCTTATATAACGGTAGGCAGAGAAAGCTGATCCCTCCAGACATACTTCATAGGTCACTCCAGGAAATGCAGATGTGTTTGCTCTGTAGGCAGAGCTGGGTAACCAGGTTGGATCATCAGAACTACCTTCTCTCCACACTGCTGTTCTGCTCCTGTGGAAGAAGAAAAAATCAAGACCAGAAACATGGCTAGGAGTAATAACTCCTCCCAGTGTAAAGTGTTGCGAGAACTATAGAACAGATGTTTCTATGTCAGTGCAAGATTGCTGCCACAATTGCATCATGTTTGTTTTCAGAAATTGCAGACAAGTTTTAGACAAAGGTGAATTCAGGAGTTAGCTCTGGCTTAGTGCTTATTGCAGACAGTGTAAGGAGTGGTACAGGACTGAGCAATGGGTGATCGCACCATAGTTTCACATACACAATGACATGATGTGAGCTGGTGCCACTGTAAAAAGTCATTGCTCTTGTTTCTGTTTTCACTTTTCCTCTCTCACACCACCACAAGTGCTACTGCAGCCATGAAGTGATCTGGATCCAGGTACTGATGTGATTGAAAACTAATTTGGAGGAGGGGAGGAAGTTTAGCTTTGATCCATAACAGTTCCCCAGTGGAGTTCACTGCATGTCTGCAAGAATGCACCCAGTGACAAAGGTGTGGATGGGGAAAATGGCCAAGAACAGCAGCAGGGCAAGATGGTATCTTTCAGTGGTTCTGCCAGCTAACCCAGAAAAAGAGTTGGTAAAACTGTGATCCCAGCAATGGAGAGAGATAGAAACCATCGACTTAACCTGCTGTTCTTTTTTCTGACTATCAATTTTCTCCTGAGATGAAAGGAATGCTGTTCTGCAGCTGGCCGGTCCTGATGCTCTACAGCTATACATCTCGGCACTCCTAGAGGTCACTGTTGGGCTCCTAAAGAGTTGTGTTGTTCTGTGCTATTAAGCTGAAGGTGTAGTTGTGTCTGCTGTAACCTTTTTGTTTATAGATTGTAAATGTTTTAAAAGTGCCATAGTTTACGCTCCTAAAAACAACTCTGGAATTACCTTGCTGTGTAAACAAAGGCAACTTTATTAGACTCCACCTTCATAGTGTGGGTTAGTATTTTTAAAATAAAATGATGTGAGTTGCAGATGCAAGCTGAACATACACAAAGTGTATTGCTTAGAAAGTTTTTGCTCCACAGCAAACTTACCATTAGCTAGCTGAATGCAAATAGAAAAATGTTGAAGTCCTGAGCATTTTGCTTTCTCACAGGTAGACTGGTGGAGTCAGTGGCCTAAGTCAGATGTATTTTTGAACCTGCAATGGCTGTTTAAGAATTATAGTGGCCCTCAGTCTCAGTCTTACAATGAACAATTGCTCCCTATCCAACAGTTATCTCAGGGCCCCAGAAACTGCCTTATCAACTAAATATTTATATATATATACACAATGCTTGCCTATATAAACATAATGTAGAATTTCTAACCTGCTTATTTGTTTTGAAATATGTCTGAGAACTTATGAATGCCTCTTGGTTTAAATAATTATTGATATAAACATGCAAGTATGACTCTTGTTTTGTGCATTCAGGGATAAATTTAAGACACTGTTCAAGATAATCCTATTTTGTTTTGCTCTTTTCTGGAAACTGCTTTCCTAATTTCCACACTTTTGTGTTGCATGTGTCCTCAGTGAATGAGGAAGGAAACAGTACTATTTGGGTAGACATCTACTTCACTTAGACTTTTGCAGAGTTTTTAGGCTGCAGATTCTTCTACTTCAGGTGTGATCTGTGGGCAGATTTTGTACAAGTTTACCCCTAAGGTAACAACAGTAATGTTGGAGAATACTTTTCAAGTAGCCGTGACTCTAATGGAGGGAAGAGTGTGCATCATTACTTTTTAATAGTTACTTTAAACTCTTACATGGGAAAGAGGCCCAAATGAGATGTTGCATATAAAACCCTGCTCATTTATCCACCAACCTTCATACTACCAAAGTACTGAAAAGAACCTCCATGTAGCTGAGTATGGTTTTCCCAAGGGATCTATATTCAGGTTTCAGTTTTCGTAAGAGTGGTGCAATGTATTTTTTAAAATGCTTGTTTCTGTAATTTTTTTTTTTTTTTAATTTGTGGGAACATTTTAATTATGTTTTGTAATAACCTCCCTTTTACTTTCCAAAACTGAAGACTAAGGTTAAAATAACCTTGCAGTTTACTGTGATATGAAAGGGTAAATGCTGACATAGCATTTTGCTGGTTTCTGTTGGCTTGGCTGAATGAATTTCATGCTGTTTTTGTATGTATCTGTTCTTTTATTTCAGCTCCACTTTGTGGCAATATGTAGCATTCCTCAAAAAATGTTTACATTTTTTGCTTCTCCATATACCAAATTAACATGAGACATCTGATTCTGAAGCATTGAGACATTTACTTCTCATGGCACCAAGGTCAAGCCCCAAAGAATCCACTAGCATTAAATGTGACATGCAGCAGAGGGAAGAATTGGGTTTGTGCACTTTTGTTGCTTCTCTGTTATGTGAGAAAGACTTTTCTCCCATTCTTCCATAAGAGGGTTTGGAAGATGCATGTGTTTTGTTAGTTTATTCCCCATGGAAAACACAAAAATACTAAGCTTTTGCTAGAGAAGTTATTCACGACATGAATACAGAATAGAAGTGGGATCATTAGCTGAGTTTAAACTAACACATTGGACTTCGCAGTCAGCAGGTGTGCAGCCACCTACAGCAGCTCTGCTGATGAGTGCGGAGCTCACTAGCTGAGCTGACTTGGTTTTTTGTCAACCATCAGAACCCATGAATATCAGCGAGGAACATCTTCAGCCCTTAAAAGGGGTGTTGCATTCTGAAAAGACAAGGAGGGGAGGAGTGGAGAAGGGCTGGTGTTTGCAGGATGTCTGTAGTGAGCTGAAACGTGAACAGGCAGCCATGTCAGGACACTCCCCAATAAGGGATCTGTCAGCAGAAATGATCCATTTTCTTGGTTAATCGGTTTCCTGGTGTAGAGATCATTATTCAACAAATTCTCCATTCATTCATGGCATGTTTTAGGGCAAAAGCACCTGCCTAGGTAAAGCTGAGCAGCACCCATAAGCTTCCCTCTCTCCTCTTCAGGGTTTGTTATTTTGCATCTTCAAGTGCAGTTTCCCACATCACAAGGAAGCAAACCAACAGCACAAATCCAATGTGTTTATCTCCCCCTTGCAGATAACCTTCAAAAAGCTGAAACCCCACTTCTGGCACTGGGATATGGAGTTTTCTTTTCCGACGGCGCTTTTTCTATTTTTTTTTTCCTTTTTTTTTGTGTTTGTGTCTTTTTTTTATTTAAGTTATTTCTTTTTGTAACATGCGGTTACAGAGTCAGGCACTGCGAGCACTGTACCTTGTGGCCTCACTTTCTTTTCCTGCTTTTTTCCTCCTCCGCAGATCCCTCATCCCGGCAGCACTGATCAGTCCCATACTTCCATGCAGCAAGGTTTGCACGTCCCTCACCCCAGCAGCCAGGGCCAGCCATTACATCACAGCGGGCCTCCTCCCCAGCAGTCCCGGCAGCCGCCCCCGGCCGCTTCTAGCAACCATCCACACAGTGACCTGACCTTTAATCCCTCCTCAGCCTTAGAGGGTCAGGCTGGTGGACAGGGAGCACCCGACATGCCGGAGCCCTCGCTGGATGTAAGTCTGTGTCATACTATCATCTGCCTGCCATAGCGTGTGCTTCCATCGCGCGGGAGGGCGGGGAGGGCAGGGGCCTGGGCCGCTTCCACAGCACATGCCATCCTTTCATGCTTTGGTACATGGGCGCAGGTGTTGCAGCCGAGGTGACAGGGCGCTCCTGGCTCGCTGGGAGAGTGGTTCTGGTTTGAGCAGCTGCAGGGCGTGCGAGCCGTAGCCTCTTCCTAACACCAAGGCAGGCATTTCTTCAGACGGCAGTGCAGGCACCAGGCTGGGAGCCATCTCCTCCCTTCCCCCTCGTCGCTGGACAGGGGCTCCCACATGCTCATCTAGACCCCGAAGCCATCGCAGTGCCTGAATAAGAGGAAGGACGCAGCTGCCTGTGGTTCTGGCTGTGGTGGAGCTGTGCCAAGCAAGCTGCACGCTGAGCCCTGCGGCATGTCCTGGCCAGTGGGAGGGTGGTCTGTGCTGGCCCACCCTGCAGCACTGTCCCTGCTCCCTGCGGCCAAAACCAGGCTGTGCCCATCCATACCCTCTTGTGAGGGTAGCTCAGCAGCATAAGTTCTTCCTCCTGGTATGCCACGTAGGAAAACAAGCAACGAGGACATCTTCTGCCTCCTTAGTCACTATGGGAGGCAGCTCACAACTAAAGATAAACCTAGTTTTAAGGCCAAAAGTAATCTTCTGTCTCTTACCATCCATTCCATGGAGTCAGAAGTCAGTTACCTGAGGTATCTTTCTGGTTAACCACCTACCTCCCAAAATAAAAATTTCTTAGCACTAGGACTGGGTGTTTGTTTGAGTCGTGCATTCCTGTATGTGTATCTTCTGTCTGTTCCAAAGTCTGCTGCTGCACGGTGTAATTTTCCTAGAGAAATGTTCGCCTCTGTGCCTTGGATTTATATCTGTACTTGCTGTTGCTGTATACTGAACGTCTTCCCTGTCACACATGAGCACTGTGCCTGCTGGCAGGTAGCCTCACAGAGGGGAGGGAAGGGGTTAGGGGAGGGATGGATGCTCCAGTTACTTGAGCAGTGCTCAGTGGAGCAACTTCTGTGTGATCCAGACTGCTGCTGTTTCACACAACACGGTCACATACGCATCCTTTGGGAATGATAGTTCATGTGGCAGTTAGAGTTCTGAACGCTTAAGGACCCCATATGAGCAATATTAATAGGTAAAATAAAAATCTCATTTTTTTCTTCAAATATTTAAGCAACATAAAGTGTACTGTTACAGGTCAGGCACTCATTCCTCGGTGAAAAGCAAAGTAGAAAAACTTGCACATTTATCACAGTACCATGATTATCCCTGACAGAGGCATGCTGGATTCCTAATGGGAGGCTGAAATTATCTTAGCTAAATGAGAAAGCAAGTGCTGTACAGTGTGGGGAATATAGTCCTTTGAAATATCTGTGAACTAAATCATGATCAGATGGATTATTTTAATGAGTTTAAATTTCAGTGGCTGTGTTGTGGAACCAGGCTGAACAAAATCCCCTGCAGCAAACAGGGGACTGTACCATGGGCAACATGGTCCTCTCCTCACTGACATGGTCACATTAATTCTTTAGGATTTCAGTGTGATGCAGTCTAAGGTTTAAGCTGGGTTAAAGGATATACCTTGTATAGAAAGAGACAGGTGATCTGCACTTGCACCTTAGACAGCAGAGGCACAAGACTCAAACAGCAGGTTAGACCTCTCGAGTATTTGCTTCAGGAGCACTGGGTGCACCTCTCCAAATTCTGCCCCTATGTCTAGCATGTTCCCATAGCTTCTGCCCCCATCTCTCCTGTCCCTGTGCAGCCCCTGGCCCTCCTCTGTCTCTTACCTCTGTTCCAGCACAGCACCCTCAACTCCCAGCAGGTCCTTTCTGAGGTCTCTGGTTTCCACAGCAGCTGGGCAGGAGGCAGGCTGTGCCGCCTCGCCCCTTTGACCAATGCAAGCCGAGGTCACCTTTAAAAGATTTTATCTTCAGAGATACTGAGCATATTGTTTAAAACTTTTGGTATATAAATAAATGAATAAATAAATAAATAAATAAAATGCCCTGTATACAAGAATGAGTCTCAGAGATATTAGGTTAAATTTCTAAGAATTTAGCTGTAAAATCGTAGGACAAATTCAAGTGTGTTTTACTTTCTACACGTTTGGTGGTGCTGCAGTTTTCTTTTGGACTTCTGTACTAGATCTTCATAAACAATTACGATAGCAGGTGAAATACATTTAAAAGCCTTCTATCTTGAGTCTAGTACTATGACAATAGTATGTTTACTATTAATAAAAGGAGGCGATGTTTTAAGAAAAGCATTCCTTCTGGGAGATTCTGTTTATGTAAACCTGACATTGCATTTTTTTTCAAAATGCTTAGGAAGTAATAAACTTCTGTCTGCATTTCATGTTTAGCTTATTGAAAAATATGTTCATCCATATAACATTAGAAGATGAAGCTCCATTTGCACAGGAAGGAGTAATAGAAGCATATAAATATAATACTTGCGTGCTGAATGTGATGCAGTCAAGCTTTTAGTTTTATAATATTTGAAAATGTAGAACAACTTAAAATGGATTTCTCATACCTACTATTAAGTTTGTTAAACCAGTCCATATTTTTCTGTCTCTGCTTTAACAAAACACTGAATATAAAGGGAGTTTATTACAAACCCTTCCCTGCTGTTTTTTATATATGACACTTACTTTTGACTAGGATATGGTGAGATGCAGAATAAAGCAGAAAACATTGCCTGGTACACAGCTCAGGAGTTACAATTTGCTTGTTACCTGTCAGATCAAAATAATCTGAGTGAAGGCTGGAAAGCCAAAATTTTCTATTTAAAACACAGTATTAACACAAATCTAAATGAAACTCCCACAGCTGTTTCTTTTGATACTTTAAAACGTTGTGGAAAGTAGTGCATCTTCTGTTGGATGGGCTGTTATGCTCCTGACCCTTTAAAATGGGTGGGGTTGTGTGTAATGCTGTGGTTAAGTACTTCCAACCACTATAAACTGTCATTGCCATGGAAAGGAAAAGGACTCACCCACCTGCCTTGCCACTCCTCTCCCCATGCTCCTTCTCAGTTTTTTGGGGGGGTTTTGGTTTTGTTTTTTTCTTACTGGGCTAGTTTTAACCTGGGTGAGTTGAGTTCCCTGCTCCAGCTCGCTGCACCGGAGCTTGCATCAGCACACACAGGCGTTAGGGGTGGCAGAGGGGTGAGGAAAGGACAGGACTGCCTCTTTCTGTAAAGATGCAGGCCTCAGGTGATCATCACACTGACATGTGCGAGTCAGAGAGACCAGTCTTCGCTGATCTACCTTAAAGCTCAAATATATATTACTCAAACTGCATGTTTCAAGTTTTTATTCAGTGTTTTATGTGAAACTAATACACATAACTAGCATTTATCGATAAGTTTTTGTCAGTGTCACTACCTAGGAAATATACTTTGTTTATTTATGAACTTTGTGATGGGGAGGTTGACTGAGAAACCCTAATTGAGATGGTGGTGTAATTCACAGGTAAAAACTGAGTAGTGCACATTTTCACAAACAAGTGGATACTGCATCATCTTAGGGTGTTAGGTTTGTGTTGCTGCCTTCTGATTTATTTGGATCTATGCATATGAAAGCCAGTTTCCAGGAATGTGTGGTGTTTAATCCCTTTTTTTTTCCAATTGCACTTCCATTACCTGTAATGTTCCTTTTATCTTTATATTTTATAGCTGCTTCCAGAACTCACAAATCCAGATGAGCTGCTTTCGTACCTGGATCCTCCTGATTTGCCAAGCAATAGCAATGATGACCTTCTGTCTCTCTTTGAAAACAACTGAAACCATATATATTCTCCCATCCCTTTCACTTGTTCACACATGTGTGGCTGCACAACAAGGAATCTTAACACTCCTTTTCCACAAGAGAAGAAAAAAAGCCTCACCTTGATCCAATGGTGCACTCCCTGCTTTCTTCATCTCAGAACTGCGTTTGTCAGCTTCAAAGACTGCAAAAGTGACAGGAGAAAAAAATACAAAAAATAAATAAATGCAGTAATCTCCGAGTCTGCCGTGCTACACATGACGAAGAAGCATAGACAGTTGTGCAGCTATTGGAAACCCCATTTGTTGTTCATCCTCTAGAGAGAGAGTTCTGTGATAAACATAGTGTGAAGTATCTTGGCAAAAACGAATCTTGGCAAGGGAAGAAAAGGCAACAAAATGGAACTGTCTTTGATTGACCCGTCTCAGAGTGTCCTTCCAACGTGTGTTCTTCCATTTTTTTTGAAACTGTATCTCTCTCCACCCCACCTCCCCTCTGCCCGCCTCCAACCACAGGTCTGTGTTGGAGTGATTGTCCTGGCCACACACAGAAAGAAAAACAAAAACATGTACAAAGCTCAAAAAAGCACAAATCCTACAGTTAAGTGGCAAAGATAGGGAAGACATACAGGCCTGTCAGAGGGAGCCAGTAGTTTAGCTAATGCGACTTCTGTAATGGAGTCCTGAGAATCTCCAGGCTGCAGCCGTGGGTGTTGGTGTTTCTGCAAGCGCAGGAATCTTAACCACCTCTTTGCAGAGGATTCCTCTGGCCAAACGCACAGATTGGAAACACCCAGGAAAAATTTAAAAAAAAAAAAAAAATGTTTGCAATGTTTAGGGATTTTTTTGTGGTTTTGGTTTCAAATCGGTACAATTTCTGGCTGCATTAACATCCAGCTGTTGAGATTGCTGTAATAGATCTTTTTGCCATGTATGCCATATGGAATGGAAAAGAGGGGGGGGGGAAAAGGGGGGGGGGGGGTGATGCAAACCAAACTGTTGCAATTATTACCTGCAGCCTTCAGTGCCCAGAGCGTTTGTGTCACTCTCTGTACTGCACAATACATAGTAAGACAAGCTGGGTTGAAGGCAGCCAGGAAATCCTTGCAGGATGTAGGGAGAGTAACATCACTATCTGCATAATTATTTTTAATAATTGGCTTGAGAAAGGGGCATTGACATTGGACAGACATCTTGCAGCTTCATTTTCTTTTGCTTTGCGTTCCATTTTTGTGACTGTTACAGATAATTCAGCCTTTTTCTTTTCTCTTCCTTCAGTTTCTTTTTTTAAACTTTGGCTGCCAGGATGAGCTCTTTCTCCTGAAGGACTGGGCATAGGGAGAATCACTAACTGCCATAGATTGCTACTGCCCTCAAGAGACCCTGCTGCCACAATCACTGTCTCGCCCCTGTGATCTGTGCTTCTCGTGTGGTTGCTGCTCCTGCATGAGCTTCCTATTGCTTCTGTGCCCATTTCTGTGCTCTTCGTCTCTCTCTTTCTCTCTCCTATAAACGATGTACAGTAGCTGTGTAAGAAGTGCATGTGTGCCAACTTTGCCCTTGTGGTGCAACATTTCAGCTTTGCCCACTGTACAGTTATTGGTTTCAATTCTTTTTGTTACTAAAGCAAATTTGTCCCTATTCCTTTGCCTCATCCCAAACCCAATCAAACACCCTTCATTTGCTCACCACAATAGGTTTTAAACTGAAGTGCCAGGCAAAATTTGGTTTGTTTCTGTCAGTTTGACTAGATAGCTTCCTAGTCCTCTGTGTTTAGTTTGCAGTGCTGTAAATGGCATGCTCTGTGCTTACGACTCTGGATTTGCTTTCCTCACCAAAGTCATATTTGTAAATTCTTTGCGGTTTTTGTTTTGTTTTGCTGTTTTTGTTAACGTTTCTCACTACTGCTGTACATGCGTCATGATATATATATGCTAGTCAGCAGCACTTTGCTGTAGATATTAAAGGAAATGGTGGTGTAGTTCTTTTATTTTCTAGTAGGAGTATTGAATCTGTCAAACATATTCTGTAGAGATGGTCCCACACTTATATTTTTCCTGTTTCAAGTTTTTTTAAGAAAGGCGCTGTTCATTATGCAAAATCAATTATTTTAAGAATTGCTATTGTAAATATCTTTGTGAATATTTTAGTATCGTCTTTGATAATATTCAACATTTTCATGATCTGGTTATACTTTTGCTGGTGTTTTTAAATACCTTGTCTAAAGAAAAATATGGGTCCTTTTATAAAAAAGAAAATTGAGGGTTCTTTAACAGAATAAGGGAGTTGGGTTTTTTCTTCTCCCCCCCCACCCCCCCCTACCCCCCGTTTTTCTTTTGATAAATTAGCCCAAATTTCATATCCATTTATGTGATGAATGAATTGATACATCAGGCAGTACCTGGACAATCAGGGCCCAGGTCGTGAAAACGAATAATAAGTGATTGCCTAGGGCAATAAAAAAACCCAACCAACTGACCGATGTTCAATGACTGCGGGTGACTGTGGGCTGGTAACAGCAGAGATTTGTTTGTTTGCCCAAGCGAGCAGAACACTGAGGACCAGCTGTCTGAACTGAGGCAAGCAGCAAGTATGTAAGGTACCATATTTATATCACTATACTGGTGCTCTGGTCTCTGCAGCTGGGGCACTGTAACACTTAGGGATGTTGGTGGGAGGGGGAGGGAAGCAGTATAGTCTAGTTTATTCTGCTTAGAAATGTCTTTTTTCTTATGTAGGCTTGACAACCTGTAGAGGATCTCTGCAGAATATTAAAGATAAACCTTGGTGTAATCCATGGTAGTATGGTTGTGGTGTGGTGCTGCTGTCACACAGTTCCTAGGACAGACCATTCTGCAATTACAGATGTGTTTTGCGGCCATTTAACTGTAGTAGTTTCCCACTGTATTTTTGCTGCATTGTTTATATAGGTATTGAAGTCATTTGCAGGGGTGGCTAATGATAAAGTGACTTTATGCCCTTAGAGTTTGGTTTTTTTGTTTGGGGGGAAAGCTTTTTAAGCCATAGGTTTTGGAATAAAGAAGATTTCTAACTATTAGTTGGAACTGGTTGCTCAGATTTTTTAAATTGATTCTATTTAATGTTCCATCCTCCATTGGTTCCTGAGCAGCTAGGTTAGTCACCTGAAATGAATTTTCTCTTAAAACACAACATTAGTATTTTAAACCAGGTATGTTAAGGATTGACCTTTTGCTAACTGGTAGTATTTAAAGTGTATCATTTAAAAGTACCTGTTGGAAAGCATAAAGGGAAAAAAACCCCATAGATATTAACAGTATGTTTGGAGCAACGTTAGCATCTGCTTTGTACGGTAATAGAGAGTTAAAGTGGATGGTTGACATTTTTAAGCTTACGGAAACGTTTGGTTTCTAAGCAGAACTTGAGAGAAAATACGATTTTTACCCATCACCCAAATGTTGGACATTTGAGACAGTTTTAAAGCTTATCTGTCAGTTAAAATCAGGTACTGTATAGTGGAGTCAGTATGAAAAAGCTTCTAAATAAAAGTTTAGTTATTTTTTTATCTGTTCTGCCATATTAAAGTTTAGGAAAAGAAAACAAACCTAGCAAATAGGGTAATCACACTCATTTCTTTTAAAGCTTAATTATTATATGAAATTCCAGTAGTATTTTTATTCTTCTTTTTTTGTTTGTTCGTTTACTTTTTGATTGTTTCCCTATGGAAGTTCATCTGGGAAAGAACCCACAGAGATCTACAGTTCTGCTGCCAAGACATTATTATAGGACTGACAGATACACGCCAATGTCTGCAGTGGAGACTCAAGGGACAGCTGTACATATGTAAATGACAAATAGAGACATGTTAACAGAAACGCATTCATTTTCCTTGGAATGTGCATTGTTTTTATTTCGCAGGAAAAAAAAAGCTTGAAGCTCCATCTTATGTGGAAAATGAATCCTGTTTGTTAGCGTTTGTGGAGTCTCAGCATTTGTTTCACTTTCACTTCTGTAATATACTCTGATCCTTTGTTTTGTTTTATCTACATGTAATATTTAGCTTACGTGTACTAGTCTATCACCTGTGTATTTTTAGGGTGCTACAGAAATAATGAAGAAGAATAAGGGGATTAAAAAATAAATTGTAACCAAATTCATACTTTGTACAATTTTTGATATCACGATCAGAGGAGAATTAAAAGAAAAAAAAGTACAATCTGAAGAAACATGCAAAAATGGCCATTGTCTTTGTTTGTACATTGTATGTACAGTACAATGCAATCATTTCATACTTTAAACTGGGCAGAAAAAATAATTGTGATTTTTAGTCTTGCAAAACTGTATGTAGTTAGATGATGTGACAACCTAATATTTATCTAATAAATATGTATTCAGATGAAACCTGTATATTAGGTGTTCATGTGGTTATTTTGTATTTAAAGATCAAATTATTTGACTATTGCTAGACATTTATATACTCTGTTGTAACACTGAAGTATTCTCATTTGCTCATGTTAATTTTTTTTTCCTAAATAAATTTGCAAAATTAAGGTCTGGCTAATTGGCAGCTGCTTTGTAAATTTGGAGTTTCTTTTTGAAACAACCAACTAACTTCCCCTTTGCCCCCCTGGTTTGCGTTGATGTGGAAGTCAGTTGTGCAGGATGTACCTTGTCAGGGTGTAGGACTTGCTGCGGGAAGGGAAGGGAGAGGTATGAACCACCCTGGAAGAGCCACAGATTAAAAGATTATGAATGCAAATTTACTGATAGGCTATGGGATCACATAGAAAAAAGTCCCTGCTGAGGAAGGTAGTGGTGACTTGCAGTTCAGTACGCGGGGCACTGCGTATCACCTCAGCAAGTAATAATTACTTGGAAATGAAATCTTTGCATGATATGAATAACAGGAATGGAGGGCTTGTCTCTGGGGTTGGCACATGTGGAGGGATTAAACATCTGACACAGTGGATGGTTAGCTTTGTCTTTGTTTTAAATTCTCATGAGTTTGATATGTTTCTCTCAAATGGAGCCTGTCATTGAAATGAAATTAGTGACTGATAGATGACTAAAATGAGATTATTTTTTTTTAATTGCATCCCCATCTTAGAAGTTGAAGAACTTGGTTTCAAAATGAGTTACAAAGTCTGCTTAATTTATCTGCCTGTTTAACTGTAAACAGACTGAATCGTGACACAAGGCATACACATAGGATCCTATTAGCCCCCATGCACAGGTCCCGTCCCAGCAGAGTTCTACACCCACGCTGAGCCACAACTGCAGATGCCAGTCACTTTGCATCCAAGAACTTGTTTTAATAGAGAATTACTGCATATCTCTGTATT